TCGCAATTTTTTTTCATCGTGGGCCAAGAATAATTCACTTGGCGAACTTCTTAATGTATGGTAACCTATTTTTCTTTCCCTTCCACTATGCAGGCATGAAAAAAAAGTAACAGCATTCCTACTTTCAAAGAATTTTAACAAAGTGCCTAAACCAGATTTGATGTTATTATCCCTTTCAACAAATATGCCAAATTTCAAAATGTGTCAATATTTAAATTCACATATATCTTCGAAAGTTTTGAATAAAAAACTATAATTTTGTGCAATTGTGCTTAGATGTATATTTACTTTAAGATGATGATAAAAATTTTATAGTTATAATTCAAAATTTTTTGAAAAATTTATAAATTTAAATTGTTTATAAGTACAAATTTTAAAAATAAATCATAAAAAATGGGCAATGTTATTTGGAATGAACCTAAATTCCAAATGTGAAAGAAAGAATAAAAAATTTTATTAAAAAGAGAGATATTAATAAATATATACCAAACTCAATTAACATTGAGGAGCTGAAATTTTGAGAGTTAATTTTTTAAAAACTATTTTTGCGATATTTACAAAACTTAGCAGTTTGGCACAATTTGAGTCGTAGAATTGAAATATGGAAAAGAATTGGCCTGTCATTTCAGAAAAGTTTCAAATACTTATATTAGAACAACGCTGTATATAAATCTAATATATATCCTAAGTCGCACTTTCGAAATATGAAAAACGCAATATTTGAATTTCGTGAATTAGCCCAGTAGAACGCAAGATATAGAACTCCCCCCCCCCCTTTTTTTTTTTTTTTTTTTCACAGTGTACATAATTTTTCTCGTCTGAAATTAGATAAATCATTTTGAAAAATTCTCTATATTGATTAGTAAGAAACTGTTGAAATATTATGTACCTAACACTGATTTAGCGCATTTATATGTATATATAGATATATATTATGTAATGTAAAATAAAAACTTTTAAATCCATCCCATGTACAATTTAGAATGAACCACATGCAAAAACCAAAACCAGAGGCATAGTGGCAGCAAACCTCAAGAAATGGGGGGAGGGGGCAAAACATGACAAAACCAAAAATAAAAAGGGATATTCATATCTTTTGCAGCATCGTAATTAGAAAGTTGGTGCAATGAAAGAAGTAAATAAATAAAATAGCTTGTTTCTGAACTGTCAAGGACACAAAATTTAAAATAATCAGAATAACAAGAGTCTTAAAACAGTAATAATGATAATATTGCTATTCTAAGATCTGTAACATTAGAGCAGCAAAAGTTTTGTAATAAAAAATATTAGAGCAACAAAAGCTTAAAAAAATATAGTTGTCTTGTTTAGGCTTGATTGAGCTTTTTTTTTTATGTTTTTTGAATTAAAATTTTCATTTATTATTTCTCATATGTTGGATTGCTTCTATTTTACATGTTTTTGGACTCAGTCAACTTAAATTATTGTTAGGAGTAGATTTTTAAGCTTTTTTGTTTGTTTGTAATTTTGATATAATTTTTTAATGTGTTTATGTTTTCAGGATATGCTGGATTGCTTGTATTTGTAGGTTTTGTTTTTTTAACCCTTTGCAGCACAGTGTTTCCAGTCTGGACACGCCTAAAAACTTCCTTCTGTACACACAGAAAAATTGAATGAAAAAGGATTTATTAGGTTACTATAGGTTACTCTGAATCTTCTTTATTTATAGTAGATGGCAGCTCAACATAAACCAGTCCATATATTTTAGCCATGTTTATTTTTTTAAGATCCTCATTTTTCAAAGAAATATTCCAGATTTTTTTTAGGGTATAAAAGTAATTTCTATGTTATTTTTTTGGCTGTATGCTAATCTCTTTATTCTATATCAGTTTTAAATTTTTACCTTGAAATCTTGCCTAAAATCAAACGGCGAACCCTAGGTGTGCCCAGACTGGGCTCACCCATAATCTAGGAAAACTGAGAGTCTGCATTCTTTGTTTCTCCGCATCTCATCAGTCAGTTCATTGAAAACAATGCTCGTTTCAGCACTCTTTTCGAAGCTCTATTCAATCAGTGTGCCACTTTGGGCACACCCACAGAATTAAAATAATAAGACACACAGAATTAAAATAATAAGACTTCACAAAATTTTACTTGTGTACTTTTCTAAGCCTAATTAGCCTACCCCCCTCCCTTTTTTTTTTTTTTTTTTTTTTTTTTTTAAATCAAAACTCCAACTTTAAAAGGTAGCGTGCCGGAAAGGGTTAAACTAGGTCTGCTCAAAATATTAATTCTACCCTTTTTTTTTTTTTTTTTTAAACTTTGATTATATTTTTTATTCTATAATTTTGCGATTGTTTTGCTTTGCTTGGTTCAGCCTGTTAAAGTTGGACTGATGAAGATACAGATTACTTTTATTGTTTTTCTGAGATTATTTTAAGTTTCAAACTTTATTTGTGTTTTTGTGCATTCAATAACATGCTGATTTATTTATTTGTTGCATCAGGTAAATAAATCAAAGATATAAATTTCTTATTTCGTTTTATTTTCTGGTATTTGATTTGTGCATATGTTTATTCCAAATTGCATATGGAATGAATTTTGAACATGGAAGATATTTTCTTCTTCCTGTCTGCATGCTTTCATGGTGTAATTGGAAGCACATTCGACGCATATTCTATAGATCCTGGGCTCAAGTCGTAGCGAAGGCATTGCACATTTTTCTTGTCTCCTGCTTCGAAAAAGCCTAGTGACTGTACAAAGTTATTATTTATTTTGCGTTATTACCACTACTTGTTGCTGCTTTCAACTTGCAATTGGATTAGGTAATGAATAAATACAAAATAAAAAGCAGTTCGAAACCTAATCCAGTTGTTAGCTGAAAGAAGCAATGAATGGGATAATAATGGAAAATAAATTAAAATAAATATTATGTTTAAGATCCATCCCATATTCAGTTCAGAATATACCATATGCAAAAACCAGAAGCACAGTTTTTCAAACTGCATGAAAAGGGCAAAGCATGCCACAAAGTGAAATTTTCATCTTACGCTGCATCATCATCGGAAGGTTAGTGCAATGAAAGAAGTAAATATATCAGCCCGTTTCTGAACTAATGTAGGTACAAATTAAACTTTAATACTTTCTCAGAAAAGCAATCAAAGAATTCTGTGTCTTTATCAGTCCAGCCCCTACAGGTCGAAGTAAGTAGTGCAGTAGTGTAAGTAGTAAGTAGTGCAAACAAATTTAAAAACAATTTTTGAAAAACTTGAAAATATTATTTTGAGTAAATAGAGTCCAAAATCCAAAACATACAAATACATACAATCCAATACATGAAAAAATAATAATATTCTGGAACCATACAGAGTAGGTGAATCTTTTTTAAAAATTATGGCATTGAAATAATAAACAAGCAAAAAGGTTTAAAAATCTAATAATTATTTTCAATATAAATGGACCTAGATGAGAAAATTTAAACATGCAAAACAGAAATAGTCCAACATATAAAAAAATAATAAATAAGAATTAGATATAAAAAATATGAAATAAAATTATTAAAAGGGATTAGTTCTCAAAATCTGTAACATAAGAATAGCAAAAGTTTTGAAACAACAAAGTATATGCCATATGTGTAGTAAAATACTACACCTAATTATTTCTAAGCCTAAAATGTGCTGAGTAATTTAAAACTGATTAATAATAATAAAAATAAAACTAATTAGAAAAAACTTCTGGTGTAAGGTATGGTGTAGTAAAAATGAAAATTTGTAAAAGAATAAACTGTGATTAATACGGAATTCAAAAAACAAAAATCTGCATTATATTTGCAAATTTTCACATGACTAGTTTCTATGGTTTTATCAAACTATCAACCTCAGCTGCTAAAGTGCAAATGGCAGCTGAGGATGATTGTTCAGTAAAACTATCAAAACTAGTCCCGTGAAAATTTGCAAATGTAACGCTGATTTTTGTTGTTTGAATTCTAAATTAATACTTGTTCAGTGTGTTATTTTATCTAAAATAAACAGTGAATTAATTGTGATAACTATATATTCAATTTGGAAACAAATTGTTTTTTTATGTATATAATATTTAAATGAACTATTGGATTTCTAATCCAGGTAGTTTACTATTTATTCCTTTTACAAATTTTTATTTTTACTTTATCAAATTTAATGTTACAACAGTTCTTTCTAATTATTCTTATGATTATTAATCAGTTTAAAATTCATTGTTTATCTAATTTCATTATATCACATTTTAGGCTTAGCAACAGTACTTTGCTATAGTAACATTACATCTCAAATATATATAGCAACATTACATCTCAAATATATATAGCAACATTACATCTCAAATATATTTTTTTCCTTTCAAAACTTTTGTTGCTTTATTGTTACAGATTTTGAAAATTAATGCCTCTTTTTATTTTACATTTTATAGATCAAATTTTCATTTATTATTTTTTCATATATTGGATTCCTTCTGTTTCGTATACTTATGTTTTTTTAGATTTGGCCCACTTCAATTAAAAATAATTAGTTTTAGATTTTAAAATTCTTTTGCTTGTTTATGATTTTGCTGCTCTCTCTCTCTATATATATTTTTTAATTCTTTGTATAATGGATTTTTTTTTTACACGATCTGCTCAAAATAATATATTTAAACATTTTTTTAAATATTTTAAATTTGTTGATGTTTTTGATGCTTTAATTTTACATTTTTACACTATTAACTTTGGCTGAGTTCAGAAACAGGCTGATTTATCTACTTCCTTCATTGAATCAACCCCCTGATGATAATGCTGCAAGAGATATTAATTTCTTTTTTCATTTTGGTTGTGGTGAGTTTTGTATCTCTCATGCAATTTGTCATTCTACTTTTCGTTTTTGGTTTCTGCATATGGGTATTTAAAATGTATTAATTATTTTAATTTTTTTTCATTTATATATATATTTACATGACTTATGTAGGCCTTTCTTGAGGTGTTCTAAGATTTTTTTTTTTTTTTTTTTTTTTCTTTCTTAATTATCTTCTAGTCATTGAAGTACTGGAGGTTACGAATGCTTCTTTTGCCAGCTGTTCAGCCAGAGACACGTAAAATAATTGAAGGTCATGAAACTTGTGATTTGTATAATAAATTTTCTAATGAAGACAAAATAAGTCAAAGAGAAAATGCTCTCAAGTTCTTGGAAGTCATGAATAAAATTCGTAGAGTTTCTTCTAGGAAACCGAAAGTAAAAATATTTTTAAACTTCTGTGTAGTATTTAATTTTTTAAATCATAAGTTTCAGAGTCTGGAAGTAGAAACAGGACTAATGAACGAATTTTTATGTAGAAAGTGAATGTATATGGTGTGCCTTTTTTTTAGCAGTTTTTTTTTAATTCACTTTCCCCATTCCTATGTGTGTAGCATGTGTTTAATGGAATCAGTGCTCTTACCATATGTAAAATTTAGTTCTTTCAGTTTTAAGCCCAAATTATAGATGAAAGTCATCATAAATAGTATAATGTTTAAGAAAAAATACTCTTCATGTAGGCTACCATACATTTCTAGGACTATGATTATAAGAAGATTCATAATAAAGGTCAGAGATGTAATATATTGGCTTAGAATTTTGTGACGAAAACATGAAGTAACTAGTAATGTAGCCTTAAAAAAAGTTTTGATCAGGAAAGACGGTTATGGGTAGACATAATATATCTGGTAATAATGAAAGTTTTCTGCCAAAAAACATTCCTAATAAAGTTAGGAAAAAAATTAAAGCAGTATTTTTAGTGCAGGTAATAATCACCACCCAAATCTATGGTTTTCTGCCAATGTTTTTCAAAGCCTTTGACACAGAAACTTGGTGCCCACGTGTCCAAAAACAGATCAACCTCATTTTGAACATCCTGTGCAGAATGGAAGATAGCTCCAAACAAGATGTAACTGCAGGTGTGAAAAAAGGGTAGAAGTCTGGAGAAGCGATGTCAGGGCTGTATTGTGGTTGTAGCAAAAGATCCCATTCGAGTTCATACAGAATCCAGCCTGGTCAATGCAGACACATGTATTGCATTATCTTGATGGGACATTACCTTTTTGTGCAGGAACTCAGTTCGACGTTTTTCCTTGATAGCAGCATCAACATGGACTAGCATCTTGCTACTCTTTTTGGATAATATCATGGCAATCACACCAAACACAAAACAAGATCTTTTTGTTAGTTAAATTGTGCTTTGCAGCTCTGCTGACGGGCTTGCTGGCTACAGATCAATCCCCTTTTCTGCCTGTGTTGTTGAAGTAAGTACAGATTTCATCACAAGTGACAATCTGGTCCAGAATTTTGTCCTTGTATTGATATTTGAGCAGATTAGTGCAGGCCTGAACATGTCTGTCCTTATCTGCTTGAGTCAGCTTTTGCGGCACCCAGTGATTGAATGTATATGTCAAGTGTGATTAATGGACGTGCCACTAATGTCTAACTCCTTAGCAAGCTCTCGAGAGGTTGTATACTGATCTTCTCGCATTCGGGCCTAATCAACATCAGTAGGCCAGCCAGAGCACTCTGCTTCTTGAATGTCAGAGTCTTCATTTTTTAACTTTAGGTACCAAACCTTCACAGTATCATAAGATACAACATTAATATCTAAAGCTGTAACACATGATTTGGTGATATTCTGTAGCTCAGTTCAGGACACACTTTAGACAAGGAGTCAGTGTATACAGTGCAAGGCAAGTATAAAGGAAAGGAAGGTGCATTTCCAGGTACTCATCTGCAAGTGAAAGGGAAATTATATGCACAGTATAGCTACAAGAAAGCATCAGGTTGTCTTTGCGTGTGCTAGAATTATTGGCAAGCTGAGGAGGGACGTAGTTTAACATATGTCACCCAAGAGTTTAGAATTGATAAAAATGTTTTTTCACGAGCTTGGAAAACATGTACAGCTGTAAGAAAGTTTGTCAGTGGTGGGCCAAGGGAAATAACTGTGAGTGATTGCCAATATATCCCCGTGCACGGGAAAAGAGGTTTAAATCAGACAGCAGGCAACAGTCTAATAAATGATTCTTGGTGCTAGTTGATATGGTGAGAGGTAGGAACATGCGTTTATTCCACTAACATTAGGGAAAGACGCTGTTGGGATGGTTTTGGCATGCTTATATGAGGTGGCATTATGTTGAACAGGCATTCAGAGCTCTGTATTTTTGACAGAGGTTCGCTTACTGGAGTTTGTTACTGTGATGAAGTTATCCTCTGCTACCTGCATTTTTTCTGGGATGCCATTTGGCAAGTTTTTATGAGTGACAGTGCATGGCCTTTATGAGTGACAGTGCATGGCCATATGGGAGTCATGATGTTGAGGAGCTTCTGGAAAGTGAAGTATCCACAGAATGGATTAACCAGTATGCTCCTCTGATTCAAATCCCATTGAAAAGGTGTGATATACTTTAGGGAGACACCTTGTATCATAACCTAATCTTCTAGCGAACATCAGATAACTGAAGTGCTTCTTGAAAAATGATATTCATGCCTCAAGAATTCTTAGATAATCTTGTGTTTAATATAGACAGATGTTGCAACACAACCTTTGCAGTTAGGGGAGGTTATGTCCCTTACCCAGGCTCTTTGGTTTGTTGCTCTTCCTTTCGGCCAGACCATTTTTTGTGCCAACACAATTCTGTCACTAAAGCCTTTCTTCATTCGTTCCATAATGTATGCCTCATATTTTTTTTTTTTTCTAATGTATTTCCCCCATCTTTTAAGTATTACATTGTTCCTCTGCAATATTAATTCAATAATCTTCAGTTGATTGTTTGTAGAATTATGGCCAAAATCAGAAAAGTTCCTGAAATTTTACGTGCTAGTGTATTAAAACTCATTTTTTATCTCTATTTTTCATTTCTGTATAACTTGGAATTTGATTGAAAAAATGGCTGTTGTGTTTTGCATTCAAGTTTTGTACCTTACTCATATTTTTACAGAAACTTATTGTTACGTTACATATATATTTTGATATATGTAAATTAAAATTAAAATTTCAGTTCTTAGATTTTTCATTTTGTTATTTATAATCTGCAGGTTGCTTAAATTGAATTGATTTTTAATCTTAGTGCATTTTAATCTTCCTTACTTTTTATTAAAAACTCTTGTGTGTTTGACTATAAGATTAAGTTTCACATATGAAAACAGGGTTGCCACGCTACCTGGAAAACCGGGAGAACCGGGAAAAGTCAGGGAATTCGAAAATTGACCAAAATATTCAGGGAAAAGTCAGGGAATGTAAGTATTTTTGTCAAAATCTGGAAAAGTCAGGGAAGTTCATACAACGACGCCGCCAAAAAAAGCGATTTTTGCGCCGACGTCGGAAGAGATAACTTTTTTGGCGAATTATGTATCACGTGAGTGTCATTCGGGTAGCTGGCATAGAGCCAATTTTCGCAGCTCCAATTTGATTGTCTTTTAGAAAGGCAAAGCAACTTTCCCGCAACTTTTGGTTTCCAGTATTCTCGAGAATCGCATGTGCAGTGCATGAACTAAAGAAAGTACCTGTTCTCGTATAAAACAAAATGGGTTTAATCCTAGTATACGGTACCATGGAGGTTAGAATCAAAGAATATGTATTGTAAAGAAGGAAAACCTCTCTGCAACAGACGTGGCTCCGTTCCATCATAGAGGGAAACAGCTGTGCATGTCTGATATATCTGTCGCCGAAGCTCGAAACCGGTGTCGAAGTTCGAAGGTCACGTTATCAAGAGTTCATAAAATGAATATCGTTTAAAATTTCTTGAACGACTTGCGCTAAAAAGACGTGCCACGCACGTCGTCGAGGTGCTTTTGTCTCAAACCGTGAGCGACGTGAACACCACGTCGATAAGCATTTATCGCAAAAATGAAAATAACGTGGTGCACACGTCGCCTAACAACGAAATTGTTTATTTCTCGAGTTACAGCTCTGGATTGCACTCGCAGATGCGGAGCGGCGTAAATGAGACACTTTACCGCTTGTTATATTGTAGCGCACGGCACCGCAACCGTGAAGTTTAGTCTTAGCGCAAGTGGTTAAACTCTAAAGGAAAAGAAATATTTTTTTGGCGCAAGTAAATCAATTCATGGATTAGTTATTTTCAGGGGAAAAAAAAAACTACGAAAATCCGTTTTTAAAATTATTGCGTGGATTTTTCGCAATAATTTTTAAAAACGGATTTTCGTAGTTTTCTTTTTGTCAAAGAGCGTTTTTTCTTAACACGTGTTTCTCAATTTCCTGTACACAGCGCGAAGAGAGAAATTCTGGCCGCCAGGTTCCGTCGCCAAATCCCTTGGCAAATTTTCCAAGGGCAATTCAAAATGCATTCTAACGGCGTAATAGCATTTTACGCCTTGTATGGAACCTTTCTTCTTCTTTACATAGACGTTCTTTGGTTTAGAATAACCTCCATGTATGGTACACACGGGATTTGGCGACATCATGATGCGCAGTAAACGGGTCATTTTGGTCTTGGCGACAATTTTCAAAATCCGTGCCAAAGCCTTACCGTATACTAGGAATTTTTTACCGCAAAATCTTTTTAAACCTTTTTTTTTTTTTTTTTTTTCTTTTTAATAAATACCTTGCCATTTGTTACTTTGCAGTAAATAAGAAAAATAGTAATCAGTCATCTAGGCTAGCCATGTAATATAACTATATTCGCTAAAATATCGTTGAATTATTCTAATTCAATTTTTAAGTAATTATTTTTATGTTATTCATATAATTTAATGTTGCTTCTTCCCTCTAAATTTATTTATTATTAGTAAATAATATTTCCAAATTTCAGGAAATTTTCTCTGGCATAATCCTAAAATTAATTATAGCAGTATGATGACATACCGTCACGAAATTTAATGCACATATTTTTCCTTATGTATGCTGCAAAATAAATATAAAATACCTCAATTTATTAAAATAGATTTCTTTCTTTCTTTCTTTCGTTTAGCTGCAGAATGTCTGCAAAAAAAAGCCTTATTTTATTCCAGATTGGGAAGATTCTAATCTCAATCTTCAGTGGAGAAAACAACAACTATTATAATTATATTTGTGTTTTCAAGTGTTAAGGTGCCTTTTAAGAACATACCTCACGCAAATTAAATTTACCTAAAATCTAACCTAACTATTTAGCATTGCGTTGTGATTTATAAGGACCGAATTAGCCTCGTGTTGAACTGGTGATGATCATGAGTAATAATTAAATAAAACATACATTTGTTATCCAATGTAT